CAGGGGTCACTGTTCCAAAGGGCTGAGGGACAAACATGAGTGTAAATGAGTTGGGGAGGTTGGGAGGAGCTGTCAGGTGGTAGGAGGGTACTAGGCGGGGCTGGGGCAAGAGACAGGAACAGGGACAGGCTCGGTGACCTGGTGTGGCTACAGGGAAAGGAGCACAGGACTCAGGGAAAGACTCACCCCTCCACGAACTGATGTTCCTCGCTCCGTGAGTCCCCAGTCTGGGGCTGAGGGCACAGACCAGAATCCTGGAAGGTTTTGAGGTACCTTAGACCACAGGACATCACCCCCTGGGGTGGGACGGGCTGCCTCTAAGATGCCCCATCACCCTTGCCTCTTGATGTGCACACCCTGATATAACCCCTCTCCCAACCTTGACAGTGAAGACCGCAGCCCGGGCCTGACTTGACTATGACTTCATGAGAGACCTAGAGGCCAAATAGACTAGATAGAAGTCTTCGTATAGAAATCACCAGAAAAACAGCTGCTTCCTGTTAGTACACAGGATTTCTTCAGCACACTCTGAAAACAGAGACCGTGTGGTTTAAATTTGAAGTCACTTTGCAGAATGGTCTTGGAGGTCCTTCAAATTTTTCTTTTTTAAATTTTACTATTTTTTGTGTGTGTGCTGTCACAGCAGATCTGACTGGTACAGGAGGAGATTGTCCCGCCTTCTCCAGCAGAGCATCTGGTGGATTGGAACTGCGCACCTCTGGGACTGCAGTGCAGCTTCTTGCCACTAGGCCACCAGAGCTCCTCTCCTTCACATTTCTTATCTGCCCAGCATGAACTGCTTAAAGGAGCCCTGGTGGTGTAGTGGTTAAGAGTGTGGCTGCTGAGCCGCTCCTGGGTCCCTCCCCCGCAGAAACTTTGAGATAATAAACATTTGTTTTCAAGCTGCTAAGCTCCAGGAGTTTGTGCCCTGCAGGAGAGAACCAATACGCCCAGGCACCTTTCTCCTGGCTTTCGTTCACCTTCCAGGAGCCCTCACAGCTGAAGGAGTTAAGTCCTGGGCTTCTGGCCAAAAGACTGGCCATGTGAAACCACCAGCCTCTCAGTGGGAGAACAGCCAGGGAGTTCGCTCCTGTTAAGAAGTCCAACCTCAGTCCTGAGGGCCACTGTGAGGAATGGTCTGAGCAAATATCCATCCTCTGTGACACCCACTGACTCCCTACCCCTGAGGTCAAAGGGGAACAAGTCTCTCTTGCTGGTGCTTTTCCAGTGGGAAGGACACAGACTGTCATTGTTGATTGGATACTCCCTTCCCATGGTGGTCTTCACTGCCATGTCCTCCTGATACTGCGCTGCCCCAGGTGACCATTAGGTCCAGCTCTGCCCAGTCACCACAGCACGCTCCCTCCAGAAGGGCTCAGTCCGGCCACCAGTCCTGGAGCGAGGAGCCGATCTTCATCTGTCCCGGGCACCCTGGGCATCAGCATCCCTTGGGCTTCGGCCAAGCCTGTTTCCTCTCAAACCGTAAAACCACAGAGTCGACAGAACTGCTCCAAAGGGCTTGCTCGGGTGTGACCGTTACACAAGCAACTTCCATTCTCTGCTTCTGCTGCACCACCAGGTGGGTGTGAAGGACGAGCCTTCAGGTTTAGCAGCTGGGCATTGCTCCGCCATTCTGTCCAGAGGCTTCTGTGAGGTCACCACACAAGTGCTTCAATCCAGACATAAGGAGCAGGCGCTGAGGGCCAGGCCTGGCACGAACCTAGTCACATTGCTGAGCTTGTCTCATCCTCCCTACTGCCTTCTAAGGTGGGCCCCTACCCACGCAGCCCTGAATGTCCATAGTGGGGGACGCTGGGACACAGGCCCATGAGGTGATCACAGAGGAGCCATGCCTATCTGGCTCCAGCATCTGAGCCCATCCTTCTGCTCTCCCTTCCCCCCCCCCCCCGTGATAACCCCTAAAGGCACACTGAACCCTGACCCCCAGCTCACTCCACTTACTGGCTGCACAGAGTCCCCTCCTGTCCTGCCCCTTGACTCCCAGTGCTGGCTCCATGCACACTGGGCCTGGGCCTGGACTCTCAGGCCACAGAACGGGGCCTGGGGCGGCCAGAAGAGGCCCAGTCCTGCCCCAGTCAGCAACTCCAAGTCCCACAGGAGCTGTAGGAAGATGGGGTGTCAGGGTGTGAGGGGCACCCACCCTGCTCTTGCCCACAGCCCGGGGCAGCCCTACCTGCTCCTGAGCCCGGCGCCTCCGTTCCATCTGCAATAATGCTGCGGGCAGCTCCAGCCCCGGGGGACAGCCCGGGCTCCCCTCTTCTTGGGAGGGACAACATGCCTCCTTCCTCACCTGCTGCAGCGCAGCCTGGAACTGCCCCAGGCCTGCAGGGCACTGGAAGAGGTGCTGGTACAAGGTCAAGGCCTGCTCGGGGGAGCAAGGGAGCCCCAGGCCCCCAGGAGAGGTCGCCTGGTCCATGTGGCAGGGACAGGAACAGAGATTCCCCCCACACTCCTCTACTTTAACTCTGGAGACTGGGAGAGGCTAGGGGCCAGGACGATTTCAATAATGGCTCCTGGTTTCAATAATGCAGGACGCAGATACCTGACCCCCGTGTTGATGTGGCCTGACCACATGACAGATTTCTGGGTCTGGATGGGAGAGTGGTGGAATGTGAACCCAGCACAGAGAGGGGTGCGTGCTTGTGTGCACCAGCGCTCACCTCTCTGCGATCCCAGCTGCTCATCGGTTGAAGAGATGGGGTGACAGCTGCCTCATACACGAAAGCAATCATAGCGGTGGCGGCAACAGCTTATTTTGTATCAAGATACAAAATGCTACACGTCACCTTCCTTCCAGCCACTTTGCAAATAAAACAACTAGGCCTCAGAGAGTAACTTGGCAACGTTTCCCACGTCAGAGGACAGATGAACATGATAGACTGATTCTGGGAAAATGTGGCTCCAGAGCTTAGGCCATTGCATCACCCACCAAGAAGTAAATAACAGCAGAAAGAGGCTAAGGCTTCTCAAGGGCTTGTTCCAGGCTGTCCTGCAAAGCGATGGCCATAGGCCGTTCCATCTATTCCTTGAAACACTTCAGATGCATGTTCCCACTGCCTCACTTTAGAGATGGAGGAAGCATTTACCTAAGTTCTAATAACTGGAAGGGATGAATTCACAGGGCAGACTACAGTCCGTCTGTCCTGTGCTCTCAGGAGCAACTTTGTCCTGTCTGTGGCTGTGGCAGCTCAGAGATAGAAGACAGGACACACTCCCTCCTGCCCAGGGACAGGAGAGATGCCGAAACAGCAGGAAGTGACAGAGGAGGTCACAGTAAGAAGTCCTAGATAAAGGGGAGAGGATGTACAAAACTCACAATAATAAAAGATCAGGCTTACTTAAAGACTGGGAGACCCCTGAGATCACGGTCCGTGGAAGCCCTTCAAGCCTGGGACTGACCTCACCCTGGCAGCTTGATTGTCAAACAAACAACAGGGTAGCCTATCCATGAACAATGATACCAGGAGACACACTCTCCTGAGAACAGTCAACCCTGAGATGAGAAGGCAGAATCTGCCCAAGGGAAAACTCAGAGGCAGGAAAGGACAAGTGGAAATGGAAATAGAGGAAGGGAATGGGGACTGCACTGTTACCTTCTGGGGGTGCAATCAGCATCATGAAACAAGCTCTCGGAATCTTTCACTCAAGCCTCAATTGTTAAAAAGGAGGGGTGCAGAATGAGCAGGGGGAGTGTCTGATTAAACACATCCTCTAAGTAAGCAGTGGAGGGACCCGACTGGGAACCCTAGGGGTGGGGGGGTGTCCTCCCCAGGATCATTGAGCCTTCCAGCTGATGACGAAAACTGGTAGAAGTAAAAACTGGGAAAGTTGTTTTACCATCTGTATTCTCAATAAAATTGAAAATGAAACAAACTGGGAAAGAGAAAGGGATTCCTCACTTTACAGCAAAGGTTCCTAAAGACCAAGGTCACAGAGCGACAAGTGGCAATGTTGTGATTGTTGTTGTGTCTCATCCAGTTGGAACTGACTCACAGCTGAACCTACAGCGGGTTTTCAGAGGCAGTGAACTGCATGGGAGGAGAATGTCCATCTTTCTCTCACAGAGTAGCTGGTGGATTCAAACTGTGTACCTTTGGGAAGGCAGTGCAGCTTCTTACCCTTAGGCCACCAGATCTCCCTATGCAACAAAGAAATGTAAATTCTGGACCTTTTTCTATTCAGAGCCACATGCTTCCTTCTGTGATGCTGTCTGCTCCCACACCATGGGGCAGGATAGTTGTAAGTGTGCACACGTGTCTATTTGGTTGGGGGGAGTTGAACACACATGTCCACTACATCATGGTTTGTTATTGTTCCTGCCCCCACCTCAGCCATGGAGTCCGCAACACCAGCTCTCTGAGTGCCCAGGATATACCCAAACACACAAAAGCCCAAAATAAGAGGAAAAGGGTGCCCCATGTGAACTGAGCCCCTTGTCTGTGGCTCCTCCATCCCTTCAGCATGGGAGCCCCATGTCCCTGCCTGTGTCACAATGAGCACAGACAGGGGTCAAGCCACTAGGCCCCTCCTCAAGCTCCTGTCTGCTAAGTTTCCTGGCCGGATGAAGACAGGAGGAAGGCAGAAGGGATGTGCCAGGTCCAGGGCTAGGCCCCCTCAGTCCCCACTCTAACTCTAGGCTCTGAGCTCATACAGCCCTGGCTCCCACCTAGTGCCAAGAAGCACGTGCACGTGCGCGTGCGTGCGTAAACACACACACACACACACACACACACACACACACACACACACACGCCTTGGCATAGGCCTAGAGTTTATTGCTTCTGATTCAAACACATGAGGATCCTTGTGGACACAGCCAGATCCCCCAGGCCTGGGTGGGACTCTCCCCAAAGCTCTGGCCAGGGCTGCGGCCAGAGGGAGCACCACGGGGAGACTTCTGTCCTGGTTGGGTGTCATCAGGAGTCTTGGTTGGGTGTCATCAGGCGTCCTGGCCAGGTGTCATCAGACTCGGATACCTGCTATCCCTGGCTGGGGCTGGGCAGAGCACTGGGTGGCAGGTCCCCGGTGAGCAGGACAGGGGGACAGGCCTCAGGGAGAATGCAGTGGGCCTCATGCTCCACCAGGCCCGCAGGGCACTGGCAGCCGGGCACGCAGGGCCTCACGCAGTGGGCTGCCAGCTCCCCGAGGGGGATGTGTCGGTTGAAGCAGGTGCGGGGACAGGGGGGGCCACACTCATCGAACACGAAGCCACGGTCCAGGGGGCAGCCCATCACTGCAGGAGAGTGGAAGGTGGGTCACCAGGCAATTCCTGACTGTTCCACTCTCCCTATGACCAGCCCTGAACCTTAGAGGGGGCATCTATCACCTCTGGTCACCCTCCCTTCAGACTCCCTCCCTGGACCTGCTGGGCACCACCCCTCACCGCAGAGCGTGGGGCCCCGCCAGGCAGGCGTCACTCCTGCCTGGCGACAGTGGCTGGCATAGGCTTCCAGGGCATCGCAGAGGCAGGTGTCTGCGGATGGACCCAGGCCACAAGCACAAAGGTCATACACGCAGGCAGCAAAGAACGGCTCTGGGGCCACCACAGCATGGCATCGACTGAAGGGGGCTGACTTCAGCACAGCACATCGGGCATTGGCCTCGCGCCGGGCACGGTAACCAGCTGCCCGGCACGGATCCACCTCTCGGCCGGCAGCACAAGGCCGGCCAGGCCCTGGGCCCTCTGAGACCTCGACCGGAAGAGAGAGACATCAAACAACAGCATCTCCAGGAGGACACTTGAGGTACTCTGTGTGCTCTTTTCTAAACTTTCCACTGGACAGTTCTCAAATCTCAACTAGAACCTAGCAAAGGAATCATCTATATATATTTTTTGTTCCCATGTCATAGATGGAGAAACCACAGCAGAGAGCAGGTTAGGTATCTGTTCAGGGTCACACAGTGTATGACAAAATAGGAGTAAGACTTGGGAGGTCAAAGGAAGAGGCCTCTCCCACCCTAGCTTCTCCAGTAATGAAAGCCCCCCACTCACTATCCTGGGCCTCCCTCCATTCCAGATCACTGCTGAGGCCTGCGCTCAGCTATGCCCGCCCCCGCCCCCTGTGCCCACTCACCTGCCAGCTGTTCCCAAATGCAGCCTCTGTGGGCAGGAGCAGCCCCTCTGGACCTCGAAGGTCATCTCGGGCAAAGCCATTGAAATTCCCACAGAGTCCACAGGTGTGGCCTCGGTAGGAGCCAGGCACCCTCACCTCCACCTGGGACCTCCCGTCCCACAGCACCTGTGCAGAGAAGCCCGGACTGGGGAGGGAGGTACCCAGGAAGGTCAAGGACCGATGTGGTCTCATTCACCCTGCCAGCACCCACGTGCTGGAGAGTAAGTCAGGTGGGGGAAACTCCTAGGGAGGGGACACGGGCGGGGGCCAAGTCACCTCGCCCTCTCAGGCTGGCGCCCTGCCCACACAGCATGACGGGGCCCACTGCTCCAGCGTAAGGGTGCTTGCTCTTGTGCACCTCTCAACTTCGCCGAGGTAAGATGTCTAACAGATAACGTTTGTCCTTCCAGAAGACAAATCAATTCAGTTCGCTCAGTCTCAGGAATGTAGACATGTCTTATTTTACAAATTGTGCTCGATTGTTGGGGAGTCCCTGGCTAGCTCAGTGGTTAAGTGTGGGGCTGCAAACCAAAACGTTAGTGGTTCAAACCCACCCAGAGTGCCTCAGAAGATAGGCTGCTGGCGAGCTGCTTTGGAAAGGTTGCAGCCTTGAGAGGCCGGTGAAGGAGTTCTACCCCACCCTCATTCCACAACCCCCAACCCCAAACACCCATCCTCAGGAGCTGGGGTCGCCTGGATGGCAACTAACAACATCCGCTTCATTTTGGGGGCTGGGAGATTACATGATAGGGAAGGAAATTTGGAAATCTAGTAGAGGCCTTCCCCCCAAACCCCTCCCATTTTAAAGACGAGAAAGCTGAGGTTCCCAGGGCTGGGTGACTGGTCTAAGAGCCAGTGCGGTGTCCTCACTGGAGCCAAGATTGAAAATGAGACCTCCAAGACCCTCAAAGTCTCTAGCCCTGATTCCTTCTCTCCCGCAAAGTCTGGCAAAACTCTCTCCACCTCAGCCTCCTTCCCAGATGGCTGGGCTACCCTGAGGCTCCCAGACACCCTCCTGCTCACAGATGCAGGCGCCTGGAGTGCTCCCAGCTGAGTTTTGGGGAGTCCCGGCCCCACTCCTCCTGGCCCCCCACGCACCTGGAGGCCAGGCTGGGCGTGCAGGATCACCGTATGCCCCCGCAGCTCCACGTACAGCAGCGGCTCCTGCAGGAAGGGCAGGGCAACAGGGCGCCCGTCCACCTGGAGGAGAGGAGTCACCCATGGGGCCCGCGTGGGAACAGTGGGTGCGGACCCCCGTCCCCAGCACTGCCACTCACCGAGACCGCCCCGCCCTGCAGTAGCCTCACAGCCACGCCTCCCAGCAACACGGCCACCTCCTGGGTCCACGCCACGCCGCTCCGGCCGCGGTCATCGTTGGTCACATGGACGCTGTGGGCGACAGGGATCAGCAGGGACCCGCGCAGGGGCTCAAGGAGAAGGGTAGGTGGGGGGTGCCCACCTGAAGTCCCCTCCGTGGCAGTCCTTGGCCAGCACGTAGCTGCAGCCGCCCTGGAAGTGCAGGAGGCGGCCGTCGAAGGTGCGGTAGTGAGGGTCTCCGAAGGCCATGCAGGAGGCCGGCCGGGGCAGGCAGCGTGGACAGCAGCTGCCGGGACTCAGGGCGGGGGCCTCGTCCTGGTCCGGCCCAGACCCGGTCAGATCAGGCCTTCCCGCAGGGCAGCAAAGACCCTCCCGAAGGATGCAGGGCCATCGGTGTCCACTGTCCACCCCCCTTGGCCGCCCGATGCCCACTGTCCATCCCCACAACCCCGGGTCACCCGGTGTCCATTGTCCATCCCCCAAACCCGGGCCACTCGTTGTCCACTGTCTACCCCCCTGGGCCGCCCAGTGTCCACTGTGCACTCCCCGGGCCGCCTGGTGTCCACTGTCCACCACCACCACCACACACACACACCCGCCCGGTGTCCACTGTCCACTCCCCCCCGGGCCACCCGGTGTCCATTGTCCATCCCCCAAACCCGGGCCACTCGTTGTCCACTGCCTACCCCCCTGGGCCGCCCAGTGTCCACTGTGCACTTCCCCCCCTCCCCGGCTGCCCGGTGTCCACTGTCCTCCTCGACACCCCGGGGCCGCCCGGTGTCCACTGTGCACTCCCCGGGATGCCTGGTGTCCACTGTCCACCACCA